AAAGGGAATGGAAGATAGTCTTTTGAAGGGAGCCGGTGTCTTTGTTGCGTGTAAAGAGGTTCCACAAACGATAGCGTTCATGTTCGAAATGCGTGCCTGAAATGAATTCTTAACGCGAATGGGATTTTTCGTAAGAAGGTGTATAAAATAAGACCGCCGTTACTATAGCCACCGTTTATCAGTGAATAAACAAAATAGCCACTTCCTTAATTCTTCTTTTTTTCTTTGCAACAAAGAAAATTTCTTACGAATTTTTTTTACAAGTTCTTCTTTTTTTTTCTTTTTTAACCCTGAAACTAAAAATATTATTATTTGCTTGAAATACACTCAACTAAATGCGAGCAAAAGTGAAAAGTTGCTAGGAAATCATTCATAAAAGACGTGGCAATCGCGAGCAAAAAACAATTGTAGAAAAGCCTTGGGAACTTATAATTAGGTCTACATGTTTTTCAGATAATTGTAGCATTATAGAGTGAACAGTGCTGCAGAAGAAAAAAAAAGGCCATTCGATACAGACATTGAAAAGTTTAAATTGAGGCGAACATGTTTTACGTAATGCCAGTGACGACGATGTTGATCACTTATCGCAGATAATCCTTCTCTTTTCTTCTTATCATTTTGTTTCCATCAAGACCTTTGAAATCCTTTTTGATAAACTTTACTTTAAATTTTAAGGAATGCTCCAATATATATATATATAATGCTAATCTACAAAACTTAAATTTCTTAATGTTTGCCTTATTTGAAGCTTTTAAAATCCAAGCTTATCTTCTTTACTTTTCATTAATTTCTTAATTTTATTATATCTCATCGCATACAAGATTATTCAATTCTCAAAAAACAAATGATTTATTTCCATAATTTCAGTTACCGCGAATGGTAAATTTTAAGATGAATTAAGGAAAAAACATTTTCACTAATATTATTAAAAATACTAATGTCGATTAAAGCAATATCTCGTACTCATATTTATCTTTTTCCACTCTTGCACGTTTGTACTTGTCGTAACTATCCGTAAACATCCACAATCTACTTATTATTAAAGGAATAGAAGAAAGACATACCGAAATAGGATTTATCCCTGACAAATAGTGATCGAGACACCCCCGGTACGTGTTTCACACATACAACTTCGATTTCTACACGTGATGGTATATAATACAAAACGCGTTTCAGAATCATTTTCCCTAGTATCGGCCATCGAACATATTCTTCCAACAAATGATACACAAGAGGGACCAGCCTGTGACTGGGTATCGAGCGATCTAAAACGACGAAGATAAAACAGACCGTCGAATCGCATGTCACCGAGACGTTTCGATCTGTTCGCAATCTGTTTACGATGAAGCTCACTGTGATATCGGTCGCAATTGCTGAAAAATGTGTGCAGCGTGATCGCGACGGTGATCGGTTCCAACCTAATGTCACCCCGATATCGACGACACGTCACGATTCCACGCCTCGAAACGATCGCATATCTGATCAGTGATAGGAAAAAAAAAATCTTTTTTTGATAAAGACTGCATGTTAGAAGGAATTGCACACGTGTGAAGAACCGTTCGAAAAATATTTGATGCGATGATTGATCATTATTTCGAAAACGATTGGAATATTAAGAAACAGGAGAAGGTAAAAAAGAAGACATTTTTTTACATAAGAAAAATTGAGATCCTGACGAATTAGTTATTTCGTGGAAATGTTTGATGACGAACGATTATTATTGGTATATTAGAAAAATTTTATAATTGGAATATTAGAAAAATTATTCGATGAAACACCAAGTTTTTGAAAAATTGATCGTCTTGTGAAAAAAAAAAAAAAAAACAGGGGGAAACCGACTTTGATTAAGCAGTTACCTAACTATGGTTGTGTAATAATATCTTGGTAAATATACATTAGTAAAAATTGTAGTTTTGGAGTATAAGAATGAATATTTACGTAATAACTTATTCTTGATGTTAAATTTTTTTTACCGTGAATGTAATTGTAGATTGTAGATTATAAATGGAGTAAAATATCCGGTATTTGTACTGTACTCTTGTCAAATCTAATTATTTCATTTAAATAATGAGCAAAGATGTTTTTTTTTATCATGTCCTACATATGAAGAACATTAAAATGACTCGTGCAATTAATCTGACAGAAATATTACCTTAATCATTTATACGATAAGTGGAATTGTATTTTATATTCCGTCGGACTATTTCAGTAACTATGGGTATGTAACGATGTCATTAATCTCAAAAGAAATATTTTACTTTACATTTTTTTACTTTGTACGTAACTTCAGAAATATAGTTTCATAGGTCTAAGATAAAATTGCAATATTTCAAGGAAATTATGATGCAATAAACTGACAAACATTATCAAATAAATGTGAATAAATTCATAAGCGTTTTCACTTCTACCTTTTATTCTTAACTATAGAAAACGTATCTGAATATGAAAAAAGGAAATTCGAAGATTACTCCGATATAATTCCAAGTCATTCGAAAGCTAAATTCCATCAAGATCAAATATTTGGTTGTTAGATATACTTAATCAAGTACTCCAATATTCCAATTACTCTAATAAAACTTCGGCATACTCCGATACTCCGATACATCAATATATTCGAATTCTACAATTACTACGGTACTTGAATATACTCCGATACTCCAATACTCTAATACTTCGATACGCCAATATACTTCAATACTCCAACAATCCAATACTCCAATATACTTCAATAGTGACTCGAAAACTGGAGTTGATCGGATTTGACTTGAAAACATCCTACTTTCCACACGCACTCTCGAACTCCAAACTTCCGAATCCCGATCGACCCTCGACGGAAACGAATTTCCAAAGAAATGGCTGGGACCTGGTTCTCAAGTGATCGCGAACGCGGATAAAGGCACGCGGATGAACCGAGCGAAGCGTTGAACATAATAAGCGGTGCTCTTTGGAATATTGCGAACAACAACGGCTAGGTCCAACGAAATTCCCAACTTCGCGTCCTTGAGCGTGAGGGAGAGGGTGACCAGTGCGTAGGAGTGGCCGGTGTGCTAGACAAGGACAGAAGGTCACCGGTGGAATAGGTGTAATCGTTTAACGCGCACGATGGTATCTTCGCGACCGGAGCGGGTTGGCCTGGTTAGCGCCATGCTGGTTGCACGATTGGTCGGCTTGGTCGGTTCGTAGGAGTGGCTATGTCTGTTGGAAGGGATTCTGAAAGTGACGGGGTAATTTCAGGGGGTAGAAGGTGGCGGCCGATTCGAGGACGATCGCGTCGAGGTTACTCCTCTGGCCGAGGAGGTGAGTTCTACCACCACCAGCCGCCAACCACCACCCGATTCCCCGTTCGGATCTATGCCACGGTCTTCTGACTTATGCTACGCCCGGCAGGGCCGCCAGTACACGATACGCTTCTACCAGGCGAACACCGGGTTCTCCGTGGCCGCTCTACCTCTACCTCTGTCCTCTACCTCTCGGTTTTCAGCACGGAAATCGTGCGGTTCGCGGGCGGGCGGCGGCCGCGAATCCGCATTTTTCACGCGCGTCGCGTCACCGCAAAGGAAAAAGTGTCCGATAAGAAGGGGGAGGGAAACGAGCTTCGTCCCGGCTTGGAGGAGGGGGAGAGACGTGGAGAGGAGAAAGGGAGGGAGTGAAGTGTTCGTGGGTGAGAGAGGGATGCACGGTTCAGTTTTCGCGTGCACGTGACGCGATCTGATCGAGAAAGCGTGCCTCGAACGATACGCCGTGTTGACGATCGCACTGACAACCCTCCGACGTGTACAGTGCTCCGGTTTTGAGGTTAGAACCGGGCTTTTCTTCTGTCACGTGACCGCCCCGAATGTGAATCCCTCGCGTTGTAAGCACAGTGGAAGTAGCGAGTAGAATACTTACCAAGTGAGTGTTGATTTGTATGTTGATAGTGATAGAATTCTCCAGTGGACAAACATTGTTGGATGAACGTGACGATGAACGTGACGTCGCAACGATATTACACACGAAGGGACACGACGTTGCGCGTGCTCCGAAATTGCGAAGTAATCGGAGCAGGATCGTGATCGACGTTCGTACTGGCGCAGTGGCCACTCGTCGATGTTCGATTGTTTCCGCGTGATGCGCGCGCCAATCGACGGTGATCGACTGTTCCGTGTCTCGATTGTTCTCGCGCCGACGAACCAGTGACAGTGAACTCGTAACCACGCGAACGGTGCACACCGAAAGCGTTCGGAGAGATCTTCCCGCGGGCTGTGGAAGATGATTTTTCGTTGCCGTGATCCGACGGGTTCCGATACCCGTCAACGTGTCACTCCAAGTGCGAATCCGGTAGCCGGTAATTGATTGGAGTTAGGTTATCGACGCGACACTGGGTTACGAGTGATCGGCGCGCACAGTTGTGCGCATGTGTCGCTGATCTCGAATCTATCGAATTCCTATCGAATTTTAACTCTCGTTTAGTATTATCGAACCGTTGCAGCCCGTCTTCACGTTTGAGAGTCCGTGCAAGGAGCAGACACGTCGAATTCTAACTGTCGCGCGGTTATCGACAGGCAATCGCTCCTGCGCGAGATTCACGCATACTCGGATGAAAGACGCGTGGCGGTAGTGTGTGTTTTTGTTTCTTCGGCGCGGAAAGAGGTAGAGTGAAGTGTCGGTTATCAGTGGTACGTTGTTTGAAGGTGAGCAACAGCTGTCGCAGCTGCATCGTCCTGACGCCGGGCACCGGGATCCAGAGTGGAAAGCTCGACGCCGGCAGCTGGCCGACAAGCCAGTGACAGACAACGATGACGTAGCGTCGGCAAAGTCAAAGAAGAGCGTCACGGTCTGCACAGTGTACGCGCTGGACAGGACCGCCTCGGCGGGGCTGGGGGTGGTTGGGGGTGTTGTCGGTGTCGTTGGCAGTGGTGGAGGAAGCGGCGGAGGAGGAGGAGGAGGGGGAGGAGGAGGAGGAAGTGGCGGTGGTAACGGGACGAGCATCGGGGGTGGAGTGCAGGGGGTGGTCGCCGGGATTTGTGGACCAGCGAGCGCGTCCCTCGCGGCGACGGATTACGTGACGGCGGCATGCTATCCCCCGGGACCTCAGCTCACCCTGACCGCCTCTCACCCTCAGCCCCACGTCGTTGATCCCGCGATGACGCCCACCTCGGCGCCGGTACCGACTCCGACCACGGCGTCGGGACCCAACAACCCGGTCGCCATGAGCCAGCTGGGAACCGTTTATGCCACCAAGAGACGACGTCGGAATGGAAAAAGGTTGGTAACATTGTGTCTCGTATTGTGTCTCATTTGGATAATTATCCATCGATTCATATATGCACATAAATGATCTGCGAATGTATAGTGGCTCACGGAAGTATGTGGACACTTATCGTAAAACATTTTTGGTCGTATTTTGTATATGTTCTATGAAATATTTCGAAATTTAATGCAAAATAAATGTATAGAAGTGGTATGGTTATAAGATTACATAAACGTAAACCGTTAGAACATATACGTAAAGTAGCAGGTGGCGCCGGGTGGTGGTATTCTAAGGAAGTACTAATATTTGACACTTATTTCCATTACATAGAAATTACGAGACATTCATTGCAAACATAGATTTAATATAAAATCTGGTATCTGTACAACATGAGTAATCTTCTTCAGTCTGAAAGATATTAAAGATATAGTTTCGTATAATACGAAACTTATTAATAGTATAATGAATAAGTGTTCGAATACTTTTGTGAGAAACTGTATATGGCAATAAATTTTAGCAAAATGGTGATAGATTATGCGAATGTCAGTTTCGTGAGTTAAATACTTTCGTAGTAGACTTCCGCTTAATTTATAGAATATTACGGAACGGAATCTTTGATCAGTTTGTCTGAAAATCTATATGTACCAATTATCATTCGTCGATAAAAAGTCTACCTAGTCAAACGAAAAGGAATAATCACAAAATACCGATCGGTTTTATCCAAATAAAAACGTGAAAGTCTACTATATCTACACGCAGGCACTTGTAATCCACAGCAATGTTTCAATCAGAATTTATTGAACTTTTTATGAGATTGGTCTGTCCAGATGGTTTTCCGCGAGATTAGATCGTACAATTGACGCGCTTTTATGTATGTACGTCAGCAATTTAGAAAGTAATTGACGTTTTACCATATCGATGGCGAATATTCGTGTGCACGTGATCGTCTACTCTGTGCATTATGGAAATAACATTGTCCGTATATTTATTGGCTAGATGAAGAAAGAAAGTTGTGGAACGTAAAACGAAAGTCGTTTGATGAATTCGTAAGCGACGGCCGTAAAACCACGGAAATCACACCGAAGCGAACGTCGTTACGTTAATTGCAAGCGTTTCAGTAATTCAATTTATATCAAATTTATCTTCTCGTTTCCCTCCACATGTCTCGACGTCAATTACCAACATCTTACGTAATATACGACTAACAAAAAAAAAAAAGACAAAAAATAGCAACTGTCTCTATCATAAAAAGAGAAATCGTGGATATATTTTATATTTGCCTCTGTCCTCGTTACTTTGTCTCTAATTTGATCTATGTTTGCATTATTTGGATTATTCAAATGATCGTTTCTCCACGTTTATCGTGACCTGCGAGAATGACCGAAAAAAATCTGGAAAATGAGCTCTATAGAAACAGGTAGTGGGGGAGGGTTGGGGGTGGTGGGTTTCTCTTCATTAGGCGCGCGTACAGATCTGTCGGACAGTTTGGAAAATCGGAGAAAGGAAAGCGGGGAAACATAAGGATACTAATTTGTTAGCCATTCAGGAGAACGATAGACCACGGAGTATCGTGACGCGGCGCATATACAATTCATGTGTCTAAAGCCGGTGCTAATGGGATCGAAGAAGGGTGTTTGCACGTAAAGCGCGTCCAATGGTGGACTTAACGTTTGCCAGTCGTTTCAAAGACATACATTTCATCCGATTTCAAGCCTCAAACAGTCTATAGGCGATGTTTTTCACATGAACACGATCGATTATGCGCTAACACGACGCTTTGCTATATGTATAGATCGTAAATTACAGAGCTCGGTCGAGATTCGTCATTATTGCACTACGATGGAAGGGTAATAGGAGAATCTTTCACGTTGAATGCCTGTCCACTTTGTAATCACACCGTGATCTGATCACCGTCTTCTTCGCGACACTGTTTCTTGGTTTTGTCACGTCATATCCTCAGATTCAGTGTTTTAGATGAACGCTGGTGTGCTCTCTTTTGTAATCCGGTGGCTAGAAACGTCGAATTAGAGTTCCGAGTGGCGAGAGAATCATAAAATTATCGTGGAATAAATCGTAAAATCGTAAAACATTGAAAGTCTTGCTGTTGGATCTTTAACGCTAGGAATAACAACATTGAATGGTTGAAAGCATTAAGATCTTCGCAACACTCCTTGTAAGTTTACCGTTTCTTGCAGCACGTGTATTCCAAGAATTGTGAATATACGCAGAAAAGTCGCGTAAAAAATAATATTTTAGAAAGAGATTGAAAGAGATTAACTTTATGACCTTGAAAGAGATTAACTTTATGACTTTGAGTCAATGTTTCCGAGACCGTACATAATCGATATTACTGAAGTGCGTTTATTCCAATTTATGTAGATATATCTTTATAAAGTTCAGATTTGTTTCATCAAATTCTCACTATTACACTGGTTTATTCTATCGAGTATTTTTTACAAATTTCAATTATCTGTAGTCTATGCTTCAAATCTACATAACAGACAAACGTTATCCACTGTTCTTCTGACAGAAATTTTTGCAAAATTTACTACGTCCATTAGATTCTTATTTCCATTATAAAAAAAAAAAAAAAATATTCCAAAAGAATAAGATAGTCGAAAAGATGTAAACGCGGAGATATATATTTTGGAGAACAGCCGGATGAAAATTGAACAAGGAGAAGCAAAGATGGCACGAATAAATTGATAAAACACGAGTCTCCTTCGGATGTTTCGTAATAGTAGATAGGGCAGTTTAAGCAACGAGGGCAATACGATCCGGCGACTTTTAATTTTCGCGTCGCGCGCGGATACTTACACGGAAATGCAGGCGAGTGCACACGCGCGTCTCGATCGCGACACTCGCACGCTCGCGCAGCTATATCAGACACGCATAAATATAGGCGCAGGTACTGCGCGACACACGATACATATACGTGTGTAATGTTCGATACATCAAGAGAAAGATAGACCGGGGATAACCGGTGCTAAGCTGACAGAGACGGAGTGCGGCACTGATTGCGAATAAGGGGAAGGCCTCTGGCTATGGAATATCCGCCTGAACTTTACTCGAATCGTTTGCATACGTTGCTCGTAATTAGTTGAGATATAGCCGAATCGGCCTAGCTTCCTTGCCTTCCACTCTCTTTCTTTTTCCCTTCGTTCTTTTTCATCGCGTGACGATGCCAGCATCGTTGGCTTAGCGAATAGAAAATTTTTGATGGCACCTCGATTTCGACGTTCCTTGGACCGACGACGTTTCTTAATCTAGTTAAACTCGACGGGCTGAGTTTCGAGAAGATGAAATCTCGAAATGTTGAATAGGAGTGTAGTTAAAGAAAAGCTTGATATCTCAGAGGGTTTATCTTGTTAACGAGGGTGAATTCGTCATCTACGTTATTTATCCTTTTAATCTTTATGCCGGCAATTAAAACGTTGCATTTATCAAATGCTGGTTATATGCAACCATTTGAATTTCTATGTTTGAAACGTTTGTATAAATTCATTCAATTACGATAGTTTTACTGATAAATGGAGAAATACTTGTTATAAAAGAAATACAGAAATGAGTATCGAATGATCAGTAATACCAGAATCAATGATGTAAAATTGTGCAGAAAAAATTCAAATTGTCAAGTTTGACACTATAAATTTTACATCTTAAACGTCATTGTACGTAAATTTTGAAAAAAAAGTTCAATTATTGATATCTATTTCTTATTAAAAGTTGAATACGCGTTATTTAAAATCAAAAATCTCAACGACAGGTAGGCTTGTAATTACTTTCTAAATACCATTTTCAAGATCTTTTATCATTTCATTATACTGTTAAAGACTGTTAGTGCCAAAAATGGTGTCGCGCAGAGGGAAATTTATTGGGCCGAGTTTTACAATTATAATTACAATTATTTGTCGATAACCGGGCATGCATATTCATGCATCACAGCATAACGAACATAAAAAGAGCGCGTGACATAATCGGCCAACAGGATAATTTAAGCCAGCAACGCCGGTTTATTATAATGACTCACGTTCTCCGAATGTATTTTACATTTGTCGATATTTGTATTTCACCGTATTACGTATATTTTCTTCCTCTTTGTTTTTTCTTTCTCCCTTCGGATACGATACGTCGGGGTTGAAATATGCTTTTCCCTCTTGCGAAAGAACTCGCGAAATGACATTGCTTCCTGGATCGCTAATTTGAATAAAACTCCGATTATCAAGGGGATAAAAACGTTCGACATGCTACTCAGAAGTTGAAGCTTTCGCGTATAAACCAAACCGCGATCGTTACCTCGTAAAAAGCCATTTATTCCGATCGTCGTTTTCTTAAACTTTTTGTCAACAATCTGACTTTTTAATATTTCATAAAAGTTCTTAGCATGCAATTGTGACGAATTATTCTACTATCCCTGACAGGAATAAGAAGTTATTTGGGGCAAAAATTTTCGCATAAACGCATGTATTTGAAAGTATTCAAGAACATTAAAATCTTTCTTGAATTGAATTGAAATTGTCAACATTTTTGTATATTTCACTACACTACTTGTCTGCAAATTTCGTGACAGATTAGATTCTATTCTTTCTTATTAATTCTATAGAAATTTCTTACATTTCACTTTATAAACTTCTCGAACAGTCCCAATATTTAACTAACTTCACAGAGTCTTCCAACCGAATAGAAAAATATTCGACGAACATGCGCGAACTTTTCTCTGCTTCGAGTAACAATCTTTCAAGAGTAAAAAGGAGCTTAGCTTCAAGGGGTTGCTCCCTTTCGATCGTCTTTGATTCGTAGAACATCCGACGATCGGCGATCGTTCTCGATTCGAGTTTCTTGACTTGAAAAAGTATACACGCCGTGCGATCAAGGGGATCACGGACGAACAGCGTAATGGAGTTTTAAACGGTGTTTCGAGACGTACAGTCGACGATCCTCTTTCTCGTCCGTGCCCACTAGCTTCTCTTTGATACGATAAAGAACAGAGGTAAAGAATGAGACCGACTATCCG